CAGAGAGAGAGACAGAAAGAGAGAGAGAGAGAGACACAGAGAGAGAGACAGACAGAGACAGAGGGGACAGACACAGACAGAGACAGACGGAGACAGACGGAGAGAGACAGAGACAGAGAGACAGAGGAGACAGACACAGACAGAGACAGAGACAGACGGAGACAGACGTGTCTCCTTTCTTCTTCATCTTCTAAGAGAACAAATGTTTGTTTCTGTTTTGTTCGGCTTCTCATTTAATTTTTATTTAATAATTATTAATTATTTAACTCTTTATTACAATATTACAGTAACAGATGCTTCAGTACGTATACATCTACTCCTCTAAACCCTAAACCCTAAACCCTAGGTTTTCGAGGGTTTTGTCTGTCTCTTCTAGAGCATCTTCTTCCTAAGGGTTGGGGCCGGGCTGTCTCCTTTGCTTTTTTATATCTAAACCCTAAACCCTAAACCCTAAACCACAAACCCTAAACCCTAAACCACAAACCCTAAACCCCAGGCCCAATAATGAACAGACTACGGGCTGCTTCGTTAGTTTGCATTTTAATTGTTTTCTTCTACCTGATTAGTAATAATAAAAATATTATATAATATATAACAATGATAATATTAGACTATTTAAAATAATTATTATATTAATGTACAATAATATTCATAATAAGAATAATAGAGTTGTGGGTTTTGTTGTTTGTCTGCTCGCAACAGCCAAACAATATTGTTAGGGCCTAGGGGTTTAGGGTTTAGGGTTTAGGGTTTAGGGTTTAGGGTTTGTGTTTGGGTATAGAAGTGGGTTTAGTTAATAGCTGAGAGCGCTGTAAGAAAGATAAAGGCACATCTACTTAGCGATGATGAGGACCCTTTGATAGAAAAGAAAAAAAATAAAGAAAGTGAATAATAAAAATAAAAAACAAAATAAAAAAGAAAAAGATATTTATAAGTACTTGTTCAATTTAGGTGTATGCATATATACACTGCAGTCGGCAACGAGTTATGGTTAAGCGCACTAAAAGAAATAAAAAATAATAAATAAATTCAATTAATTTAATTAAAATAAATGTAGAAATTAAACAAAAAAACAAAAAAAATACTGCATCATCTGTTCTTATAGTAGGGGGGCCCCCGGGGGCCCCTCTATTTCTTCTATTAGCAGTCTTATGGATAGACTTTCTTATTCATTTTGATTTAATAGAAAATAAAGAATAAATATATTTTTTTAATTAAACAAATTAAATAAATTGCTGCTGCATCTCTCGCTCCTGCTGCGCATCTCCAGGTGTATGTACAGCTCAGCCTCACAGCAGACAAACACCAGGTGTATAGAGAGCTACTAGTTCTTTTTTTCGCTTTCTTTTTCTCTTTAGAGTTATCAAGACTGTACGGATTCATTGGCTGTACAGATGTATCTTAATGCCCTGGAGAAGAGCTGCAGAAGCATACCTCAACTAAACCCTAAACCCTAAACCCTAAACCCTAAACCCTCAACAACGAATCCTCCCCCAGCAAAACCGTCAACGGCGAGCCCCCGAACAGCTGAGCGCTAACCCCTAAACCCTAAACCCTAAACCCTAGAACCGTAGACCCTGAGATATAACATAACCTCTCAAGCTTGTTGAAGCAGCAAACATCAAAAGATTTGCTGCGATGGATATAAAGGGGTGGGCTGCTGCAGTAGCACAGCGCAGCAGCCAGCTAGCGCGAGAGGGCATGCAATATGTAGAGAAGAAGATAGAGCAGCAGCAGCAGCATCTGAAGCAGCAGCTGCAGCAGAAGACATCCTGGGGTGGCAGCACCGTTCATAGAAGGAGCGCTTCGGGGGGCCCCTCTTCTGAAGACGAACCCATAGGGGGCCCCTCATTAGCAACATATTATATACAGGCATCAGATTGCTGCGGCTTCCCCCCAGCAGACGCAGCAGAAGTCCTCCTCCTCCAGCAGCAGCAGCAGCAGCAGCAGCAGAAGCAGCAGCAGCAGGAGCAGCAGCAGCTAATTCTGAATCAATTGAGTAGCCGTGAGAGACACATGGATATGGGCACTAACTGTTTTCTGCTTCCTCCGGGTGTATCCGCAGAAGATATAACTGTCGGTTTATTTAAATCTCTGCTTCTACTCAATCAAGAGCTGTCTGAGGGTTTGCATGCAGCCCCCTTTCATCTACGCTTCAGGGCCCCCTGTCCTGCTGCACCTTCTCGCTTTGTTTGGGTTGACGAACCCCCAGACGATCAACCAGTTCCTACATGCAGCAGCAGCAGCAGCAGCAGCAGCAGCAGCAGCAGTGGCGGTGGACGGTGTATTGTCTGTAAGGCCCTCTTGCTCCCAACAGGAGTACGCCCAAAGGTAGCAGCAGCAGCACAGGCACATGCTGCTGCTGCTGCTGCTGCTGCTGTTGAGGCAACCGCGGGGGCTGCTGCTGCTGACAACAGCAGCCAGACGCAGCACAGCGCCTCAAGTAGCAACTCACAAGGGGAGCAGCCGCAGCAGCAGCAGCAGCAGCAGCAGCAGCAGCCTCTGCAGCAGCACCAACAACAGCAAGCCCCGCAACAGCAGCAGCAGCAGCAGCCCCTGCAGCAGCAGCAGCAGCAGTTTGTGGAGAGCAGCATGCTTCGTAGCAACAGCAGCAGCAGCAGCAGCAGCAGCTTCAGCTCTCATCTATTAGAAACTGATTTTGGAGGGGCCCCCGGGGGGCCCCCTGATGCGGCGGTGGGCTGTGGGGCCCCCAGCAGCAGCTTGCAGCAGCAAACTGAAGGTAGCATGCATGCTACAGGCGAACCCTAAACCCTAAACCCTAAACCCTAACACCTAAACCCTAAACCCTAGGCACTAAAGCCTCGGGGATATATTCTAAACAATTGCAGCTATGCTATGCCCTAAACCCTAAACCCTAGCACCCCATAGATAGGACGGAAACCCTCACAGCTAAACCCTAAACCCTCGCAGCTAAACCCTAAACCCTCGCAGCTAAACCCTAAACCCTCACAGCTAAACCCTAAACACGTGCATCCAAACCCTAGGAGTTAAACCCTGAACCTCTCAGCTACACCGTAGCAGCTGAGGGTAGCAAACTAGGGACGGCAGTGCAGCAAGCATCACAATCGAGGGTTTAGGGTTTAGGGTTTAGGGTTTGTGGTGTGCAGTGGCCGTGCTACAAAGAGAAGAGCTCGCTGCAAACCGCGAAGCGAAGAAACAACAAAGAATGAAGGAGAAGCTTGAGGAGGTTGAACGTGAGTATAGGCCTTAGGGTTTAGGGTTTAGGGTTTAGGGTTTAGGGTTTAGGGTTTAGGTCTTAGGGTTTATTCGTGTCTTGGCTGTGTGCTGCTGTCGAAGGCCGGAGGGAGCAAGAACTCAAACAGCAGCAAGAGAAGCTCGCACTTCCGGGTAAGCTGCAGGGGTTTAGGGTTTAGGGTTTAGGGTTTAGGGTTTAGGGTTTAGGGTTTAGCAGGACAGCTTTAGGGTGAGGCGCTGTGGTTGTTGAGGGTTACAATTCGCTTTCCTACCAAACCTCGCTGCTTATCGTCTAGAAGAAATGCATCAGGGTTTAGCGATTAGGGTTTAGGGTTTAGGGTTTAGGGCTTAGGGTTTAGGGTTTAGGGTTTGCTTGCAGAGGAGTTGAAGCAAGAGCTCGATCGATGGGCGAAGAGTGCAGACGGAAGTTTTAAAGATGTCAGGACTCTGCTGAGCACTCTGCACGAAGTAAACCCTAAACCCTAAACCCTAAACCCTAAATCTAAACCCTTGGTATGGGGCGAGTGGATGCGCGCTTAAGGGTTTGTTCTGCTGCTGCTGTTGCTTCTGCTGCTGCTGCTGCTTGTATTGCTGCTGCTGCTTCTGTTGCTGCTGCTGCTGCTGCTGCTGCATCTTTCTATTTGATATGAGGGTTTGTGGGTTGATGGCTGTCTTTCTATTAGCGCTGCATGCACTGAGTTTTGTTTTTGTTTTTGTTTTTGTTTTATTTTATTTAAATGATTTTAATGCTTCTTTTTCTGTCTTTGTTTGTCGCAGGTCCTCTGGGAAGACGCACCCTGGGAGAAGACATCGCTAAGCAGTTTGATGCTGCAACCAACACTTAAGAAACAGTTCCGGTGAGCAGGGTTTAGGGTTTAGGGTTTAGGGTTTAGGGTTTAGGGTTTAGGGTTTTATGGGCTAGGGTTTAGACTTTACGGTTTAGGGTTTAGGGTTTAGGGTTTAGGGTTTGACGAGTTTGGGCTTAGGGTTTAGGATATAGGGTTTTTTTCAGGTTGGGATTTAGGGTTTAGGGTTTAATGGTTTAGGGTTTAGGGTTTAGGGTTTAGGGTTTAGGGCTTAGGGTTTAGGGTTTAGTGTTTAGGACTTAAGGGTTGCTTTAGGCTTTATTCAGTTGCTTGTATATATTTGTTTATTTGTGTTTGTTTATTATGTTTATTTTTGCTGTTTGTTTATTTGTTTTTATATTTTTATTTATTTTATTTGTTTTTATATATTTATTTGCTTCTATTTATTTGTTTTTATTTATTAATTTTTATCTTCTTGTTGTATTTACTTATTCATTTTATCTGTTTATTTATTTACCTCGTTTATTTATTTATTTATTTATTTACTTTTATTTATTTATTTATCTACTTTTATTATTTATTTATTTATTTATTTATTTATTTATTTATTGTATTTGTTTATACAGCAAGGCTCTTCTCATTACTCATCCAGACAAACAGCAGACTGCTTCTCCTTCTCGCCAGGTTTGATTAATTTATTATTTATTTATTTATTTATTTATTTATTATTATTATTATTATTATTATTTATTTATTTTAAAATATCTAATATGTATTGTATAATGCACATAATATTTTAGCTATATATATATACGTCTTACATATAAATATTCTTTATATATATATATATATTTATATATATGTACATATATATATGTATAGATAAATATATATATATATATACATATTTATATACATGTACATATATATATGTATATAAATTTATGTTTACAGGGATATATAGACATCTGGATGTAT